GTTAATTTAAGCGAACCTAATTAACCCGGGGCGTTGAGAATTCATGGTTTATTGAAAAGCAATTAGATTCGTTTTATATGCAAGTATAACATGTATGGAGATGAACCCCTTAGCTAGCCATCCTATCCATTCATTTCCGTCAAAATCGTATTTACAATTTGTTTTTATTTCCAAGTTTCCATTTTAGTTTAAATTCGTCCAAATCCAATCCCCCTTTATTTTGTTTAAGTTTTAGTCTTAATCTTTCTTACTTTTAGTTTTGCATTCTTCGAGTTTAGTATAGTGTTTTATATTGTTTTTATGTTTTTGAGTGAGTTTCCAAGAGATTAACAATCCCTCCTAATCCCCGGTCCAGAACGATCCCTACTTATACTTCTATTACAATTGACAAAAAAAGGGTTTAATTTGTGTGCGTATAAAACTCGCATCAATGACATAAACCTTATCGAAACTCCTAAAAAGCTCGCGAGACTACCGTGCACCTGAAGTTGGAATTTAAGATGAAGGATCTAGGAAAGACTTGATACTCTCTCGGTCTCGAGATAGAGCACCGTTCGGATGGAATCTTAGTACATCAAATGAACTACACCCAAAAGGTGTTGCGCCATTTTAACGAGGATAAATCGAAGCCTTCGAGTACTCCTATGGTCGTTCGATCGCTAGATGCAAAGCAAGATCCCTTCCATCCGAAAGAGGATGATAAAGAGATTTTGGAGCTTGAAGTTCCTTATCTAAGTGTGGTAGGCACTTTATTGTACTTAGCTCAACGACATATCTTTCTTTGTTAATCTTTTGGCAAGATACATTAATGTACCAACACGCAGACATTGGACTGGCGTTAAAGACATTTTCCACTACCATAGGGGTACTACAAATTTGGGCTTGTCCTATGCCTACGGATCCTTGAGTGATGCCGTATCCCCTTATCTCGAGTCGATTCTCGCTTTATTGGTTATGCCGACACATGATACTTATCTGATCCGCACAAGGTGCGATCTCAAATGGGTTATGTCTTTACCGTTGAAGGGGCCGCAATCTTTTAGAAGCTTGTTCATGGAATTGGTATGCGTAAACTTTCTAAGTTGTAACATTGCTAGTTCTCTTTGGAATAGTGTCAAACTCAGGGGGGGATCCTGAAGTATACTTGCTTGATCTTATTATACTCCTTTTCCCTACGATTAGGAGCATTTTTCCCACTGGGTTTTTGCTACCTAACTAGATTTTAACAAGACACCCACCTTGGGTTGATCATATCCTTGATGACGTCCTGTAGACGTTTCATTTGACTTTGCATTTCTCACGCATTTTTCCTTAGACTATGGATTTTGTCCCTACTTGGGTTGTTACCATAGCCATAAGGTTAGTGAGACTTACTTCCTTACGCAAGTTCCTACCTTATTGAGATTAGCATGTTCCTATAATCAGTGCCGATGAGTCGACTTTCTCAACTTCTACATGATGCTGAATCTACCTTGAGTATTTACACACTCAAAGGGGAATGTTGTAAACTTTCTAGTTTAAGTGTGATTGTGTAAATCCTATATTAGATTTGATTCTAGTTATTTTTTCCTATATGAACTTGTATTCCTTGGAGATGAAGGATTTCTTCTCTCTCTTATTATTATAAATAAAGGCACTACGTAGGTGGAATAACACACACATTCCTCCACACAACCCTACAAACACTTCTCTCTCTATATTCTCTCTCTGTGCCATTGGGCCCCTTCCCTTGTCAGTTAAATACAGGCCACAACGTATATGAATATATATGACCTCGTGCTGCTGCAATCCGCACTATGTGTGCGGCAACATATGTATAGAAAGGTTGGATTTAATTCAACCTTGTACCTTTTGGTTGAACTGCAACTTTTGGTTAAAAGACATGATGCTTACTCAAATTGTATGAGTAGAGTTAAAAGATGTAATTAGTCAATATTTATTTTTTGAAAATTTCAAATAGAAGACATGTCTTTTGGGTCAACACTATTAAGAAGGGTTGTATATCTTCAACTTAAATGAAAGGACTCGATGAACGGGTGCTTTAATGTCTATAAATACCTATTATGGCATAATGTTTCACACACAATTTCAAAAATTTGTTTCTACATTCCTTGCTCTTTTCTTTCTCCATCACATTTATACAATTTCTTTCTAGTTATTTATAAGGGAATATAATTTAGTTTTGCTAATCGAATATTCTATACTTTGTTGTATCTTGGAAGTGATTTTCCAAGAACCCCTTAGCAAACTCATTCAAGTGGGGGCAAATAACAATTTAAAGAAATGATTCAAGTCATACCTTAAAGTCATCCTTCATATTATTCTCTATATTTCTACATTTACTCTAACACCACGAACCTATGTCTTCGGTTCGAGAGGAGGCGGAAGGTGAGCAAGAGTGGGAACGAGAAGAAAAAGACTTTCAAGAGAGGTAAGAGGGGAGCAAGAGTGTGAACATGAAGACGAAGATTTCATTGTTTGAGTGTGGTTATGGATAGGGATGGCAACGGGGCGGATTGGGTTCAGATGTGTTATCCTCATACCTGAATCTGTTTATTCTCCCTAAACCTGAACCCGTAGAATCCCCGAATGGGTTTTCCCCATAACCAAACCCGTTGGGTGACGAATTTGTGATCGGGGAACGGTTTTCCCCATTATGATATTTATATATTTATTTATATTATTAACTTGTACAAGTTTTCAAAAACTAGCATTAGTTATCACTGCTAGGCGCATTGCACCCTTTGAGCACCACCAGGCATGTCATAGTCCTCATCATAGGCCTCTTCTTGAGCCTGTTGTTGCTTCCTCCTCATCTCCTCCTCCATGTTCACATCATGCAGAGTCGTCTCCTCACACTCGTCCACCTCTATATCCGTGCAGCTTTAATGCATGATTATTAACAATCTCTTTTCATATAATAAATATTTATATTTTTTTTGTTCATAGATGAAATGCTTCGGTTTCGGGTATGGGTTTGGGGCGGATACCCCAATAACCATAACCAAACCTGAAACTGAAAAATTTACTCGATGGTTACCCATAACTGTAAAATACCTGAAATTTTATGCTCGAAACCAAACCATTCAAATCGGTTACTTGCGGGGATTGGATTTGACGGGTTAAATTGCCATCCCTAGTTATGGAGTTCTTTGTTTGAGGGATGAGGAAATGGAGTGTATTGTGTTGTCTTTCATGGACACAAAATCAAAGGACAACCACATATTTTGTACCTATCCTAAGACTCAAAAATGCTGTTCAAAATTTGGCTCACTTTGGATTTCCCAGCTAGGCAAAATTTTGAAAGTTTACTATTTCAAATTGTCATATGCATATGATATACACATGATATTTACAATTGCTCCAGAAATTCCAAATTAATTATCTTAGTATAAGGCTTTTAAATTGGAGTAAGTAAACTTTTGATATTTTGTTATGTTCTTTTAGCATAACTGAAAGCATACAATGGATTTTACACTAAATGGTGAACAAGAGTGAAATTGAAGTATAACTCGTTTGGAAGTGCTTTTAAAATAACTAAAATTGCTTTTAGAGAAAATGATTGGGTTCCAAGAGTACTTGAAGTGTTTTCCTACAAAAACAAGTTACGTGCTTTCCTAAGGATTTGTTACAAAAATATTTTCACCAAAAGCACTTGCATCTGTTTTAAAAGTACTTCCAATTGAGCCTGTAGTCATTAATCCCATGTCATTACTTCAAACCCCAAGGCTCTAAAAAATTAAGAAGAAAGACAAGATTAAATTTTTCTTATCTTGGAGGAGAAAAGCAATGGAACACAATTCTTTGCACGGGCAAGCGAAGAAGATTGCTAGGGGAGAAGAAACAAATATCATCTGGCTTTCTTTCTTTCTTGTAGGAATTTTAATTTATCTCCAAGTTTATTTAATACCTAGTTAAGGCAGGCTTAAATAGATTTTGGTGGTGATTAAAATCCATTTCCTAGAAGAATTTAAATTCCAAGTCAAAGTGAGAATCTACATCAAATTGTGCAGCTTTGGATTTCTACACCTCCTGCCCTTTCCTGCGAGCAACCCAGCAAGTGTGGGGGCATTTGTGAGGCAAAAAATAATCCCAAAAATCATGAAGCTGACACGTGGATTATTTCTTAAGAAGGACAAGACTGCTCATATTAAATGAGTATGTAGAAAAAGTCAAAGGCATTTATGATAGAATAATTCCTTATTCTTATCATTAATACATTCCTTATTCTTATCATTAATACATTCCTAATCAGAGAATACCTCTTTCAAGTAAGTCATCCTAATTCCATTTATTTAGGATATTCACCTAATTACTCCAAGATATTTATTTACACAAATATCTTGGAATATTCCCGCTTAAACACAACCCAAGGCCGACCACCCCTAAACCCTAAAAAGCCGGCCCACTTTGTCCTTTTCTCCTATAAATACCCACTTTATCTCTAAAATTCAGGAGGTTTTTTGGCTACCCACAAACACCTAACATATTCTTTTCAGAATTCTAACTTTGGCATCGAAGATTCTTCGGCCAATCCCCCCCCCCCCCAAATTCATCGTGGGCGCGTGAGGTTTTTGACTTTAATCTTAGGTGTTACTATTTTGTAGATACATTTTCGTCAAAGGAAGAAAAGGCAGATATTTGCATCCACACCAAGAATCGATCATTGCATCAATAGTTCAATGGGGGATGATAGCTAAATATACCTCTTCGAAAAGGACAATACTAAGGTTTCATCAAATCCCAGAGGAGAAGAAAATGAATTGAATCTAGCATTGCCCCCTCTTAAGTTTGTAGACAACACTTTCAAATCATCCTACCTCCTGATATCACTTGTATTAAAAAAATTAAAGTATTAAGTGGTAAATACGTACAACTAACGTCTAATGAAACGAAAAATTTAGTTGTTAAAAAATTTGATTACTAAGATGTTACGTTCACGTTGAACCATGATTAACTTGTATGCGATATACAATACATAAAACTTGAATTTCCACAACTATAATCCCAAAAGGAATAACAATAGAATAGTGAATATTTACTATGAAACACATGAAAAGTAACACTGTAACAGAAGCCATATGCATATGAAAATATACAAAAACAATTGGGATATTACAATGTAAAGAAACAAAATACAAACAAGTCAAATATTAACTCATAAATAAACAAGTGTTCCACTTTCTCAGCTATCTTTCTGATCTTTGCTTCTCTTTTTCTTCAAGGCTTGAACTTTTGAAGGCTTAATTTATTTTGATCTGAATTTCCTTCATGCTTTCACTTCACCACACAACAATATTTATGCTCCTACTTATAACTGGAAATGGTATATGGTACTTTAATAACCTAAGGATATTGAGGAACCAAAGGTGGCAGGGGTGGGAACTTGCCCACCTTTGGGTGGGGGAAGTAATATTTTGGGTGGAGTGGTGGGATTGGTGGCTTCTTAAGGAATGGGTGAGGAACCTTCGGCAATGGAGGGATAGGCTTAAAGAATGGATGAGGAATCTTTGGCAGTGGAGGGAGAGGCTTAAAGAATGGATGTGGCTTTGGCTTATAGAATGGGACTGGTGGTGGAAATGGCTTCGTGTATATGGGAACTGGTGGGGGAAGTGGCTTTTTGTATATTGGGACTGGTGGTGGAAGAGGCTTCTTGTATACGGGGACTGGTGGGGGAAATGGCTTTTTGTATATTGGGACTGGTGGTGGAACGAGGACTGGTGGGGGAAATGGCTTTTTGTATATTGGGACTGGTGGTGGAAAAGGCTTCTTGTATATTGGGACTAGTGGGGGAAGTGGCTTTTTGTATATTGGGACTGGTGGTGGAACGAGGACTGGTGGGTGAAATGGCTTTTTGTATATTGGGACTGGTGGTGGAAGAGGCTTCTTGTATATTGGGACTAGTGGGGGAAGTGGCTTTTTGTATATTGGGACTGGTGGTGGAAGAGGCTTCTTGTATACGGGGACTGGTGGGGGAAATGGCTTTTTGTATATTGGGACTGGTGGTGGAACGAGGACTGGTGGGGGAAATGGCTTTTTGTATATTGGGACTGGTGGTGGAAGAGGCTTCTTGTATATTGGGACTAGTGGGGGAAGTGGCTTTTTGTATATTGGGACTGGTGGTGGAAGTGGCTTCTTGTATACTGGGATTGGTGGTGGAAGAGGCTTCTTGTGTACTGGGATTGGTGGTGGAATAGGCTTCTTGTACACTGGGATGGGGGGAGGGAGAGGTTTCTTATAGATTGGCATTGGTGGAGGAAGAGGATTCTTGTATACGGGGACTGGTGGGGGAAGTGGCTTTTTGTATATTGGGACTGGTGGTGGAAGAGGCTTCTTGTATATTGGGACTAGTGGGGGAAGTGGCTTTTTGTATATTGGGACTGGTGGTGGAAGTGGCTTCTTGTATACTGGGATTGGTGGTGGAAGAGGCTTCTTGTGTACTGGGATTAATGGTGGAAGAGGCTTCTTATAGATTGGTATTGGTGGAGGAAGAGGCTTCTTGAATATTGGTACTTTTGGAGGGAAAACCTTAGGTGGGAAATGTGGCAACTTGGAAAAAAATGGGTGCTTCTTGTGAGGCCAAAAGAAGGCAGAAATGCAAGTCACAAGTGAAAATTTGACCTTTCCACCAGCCACTCCAAAGGTTTGTGTCCCATCACTTGCCTTAGACTTGAAGACTATTTTTGTGGATTTTAGGCCATCATGGGCAGCACAAGGGACATCTGATGCACTGTGGAGTTGGGCATAACAGTCCTCTTTTAGTTGGTTTTCTTCTTTTAGAATCTTTTTAGGGAGTGAGACTTTGAACTCTCCATGTTCATTGAGCTCCCCAACTCCTCTTGTCTTGAAGTGTCCATTTTCTAGCTTGCAATCAATTGTTACACGAAGACCTGCAAAATTGTAGCCAAGTTTGATAACAGTTTACATCGAGAATAAAAACCTAATTGATGTATTTGTTCGTGAGAGGGAGAGGGCAAGAATTAAGTGTCAGAATAAGTGTTATAATAGAGAAGCTATCAGGGCTGGTCTAGAGATTTTTGAGGTCTAGGGTGATGCTAAAAAATATGCCCTTATTTTATATAAGAATTTTTTTTTCACACGTAAGACATCGATAAAATTATACTTACTCTTTGTTGAAGATTAGACTTGAATTGGAATACATGTTTAAAAATACAACCCACATAACTACTAGCTACTAATTAAAAATAAATTAACAACCAAACAAAAATTCGTAAAAATTGAAAAGAATAAACATGCACTTAGCATTTCGAACTTAGGACCTCTAGTTAATTTTAAACAACAAAAACCATTGATTCTAATTAAACTTCTTGATCATTTAGCCAAATTTTATATATTTATACTCTTATGAAAAGAAATTTGTAAAATTTGAAAAGTAGATAAACACACATGGTGTCTTGAACCCAATACCTCCTCGTTAATTTCAAACAACAAAACCACCAATTCTAGTTAAAATTCTTTGTCATTAAACCAAATTTTATAAATTTATACTCTTATAGAAACATATATAAATATACTGTCCTAATAATTTTGGTGCCCTTAATTATTTTGGGTCCCAGACGGTCACCCTGCCCGCACTAGGCTTGGGCCGGCCCTGGAAGCTATATAATTGCGAAAGAGGAAATAAAACTTTACTGAAACTGTTTTCCAAATATAGTAAGTTTTCTGTCCACTTTGGAGTTCATGCAATATTGCAACACAGTAATATGCATGGCAATGCATAAATACCTAAAATATGAGCAGCTTAGACAGAAAAATGCAACCAGAAATTATGTTACCTGAAAAGGCACGGCTAGTCTTAATGCTATTCTGATCACAGTCAGTACATTCTCCAACCCCAAGTACCTCAACTGTCTGTTCAGCGTAGCAAAAGCTCACAAAAAGCACACAAAGCCAGAAGCACTTCTGGAAGATCTTCATTGGGAACCGCACCCCAACGAAGACTAGAAAGCTTAATCTATGGTGGTTATAAGCACTGGTATTACACAGTTCAAGTTTAAGCTTCTTGTATTACACAACTTACAAGGCATATATTATATAGTGCTTATAAGCACTTCGATCTAAAAGCACACCGCCACTGAAATTTAAGGGCTTCACATGAGGTTAGGTACCCTTCCCTTTAGGGTAAGACCTTACGTTTAGGGGAGAAGAAAAGGACCGTACGTAACGCGCGCACCGACTTCATCCTCCGTATCACAATATCATCCATTCAATGAGCTCCCAACTGGATAGCTTAGTGCGTGTTGGTGTACTTATCTGTCTAAACCTACTTACTCGGCTCCCTTTAATACCATGCTTTTTACACAAAAACCATGTTTAATTTACCAAACTAATCTCTGTTATACAATCACTATATGCCCATACAAACTTAAACTGTACGAGAATGAGTCGACAATATTCATCAAGTTTACACTATCTGACATGTGCATGACTGTTTATGCACATATATGGGAATAACCGAAGTTGTGGAATGAGAGTTGCAGACATATATAGGTGCAACCTCACCTTGCGGTTGAAAACAACCAAAGAAAGCATGGAGAACTAGAATTGAACTCGAACAAGAATGAGAGGGGCAAACATATAGGTGCATCCTCATCTTGTACTGAAAACAACCAAAGAAGCATGGGAAATGAAAATTGAACTCGATCACGACCATTTGAAAAGAAAGCTTTGATAATTCAAAAAGTCGGGTCATCAAGACACTACTAATCACATCGATAATATCTCAACTTAATTAAGCACACAACCTTGCATGTTTTATTTTAATTTTTTTTTTATCACAAAGTTGTTAGATATTTATCGATAAATAATGCCAAATATATATACATAAACTATATGCTTATAAACAATAAATTGCAACTAAGTATATTTGCATAATATGAACAAAATTAATATTAAACAAATACTATAATGATCGAGGCTTGCGTACCGCAATGTCCTTGATGAAACAGAATTTTGTCCTTACTCGATGCTTATAGTTCAATAAACGTCTAGTTCATCAGGATTCAACGATCTAAGTCAAGATTCCAACATAAAAAAACTTGACTTCTGACGAATATCTTTGTGGTTCTCTCAGTAAGAAAGGTTTTGGGATTTTAGTAGGAGAGATGCGTTTTTTTTTTGTCTTCTAAATGCAATGCACATGGATGTATATATAATGTATACGCATGTCCACAATAGGTATGAATTTAGAATGAATCTTCTGGGAGGCATCTGATGAGTCTGTCGATTTACAAATAAATAATTAAATCTGAAATTAATAAAATAATTAATTCTTGGATTTAATATTAGAGTTTGAGCTAAATAGCCCCAAGGCCCTTTTTTTTATAATTAAATATATATTAATAATTAATCACAACCCAAAGTCCAAACTCAAGGTTCAAGCTAAATTTTGCTCTTCATGGTCCATCTTTCTAATCACTTGGTAGAGAGACAAAGTGCCAAGTGTAAGAAACATTTTGGTGGTGACAAATGTGGGACAATGAGATATAATGAGATTTTAACTCGAAACTCCAACAAAAAACCTCGTGCAATTAAGAGTAAAATCATTCATTATAAATTGTAATTTATTCTGTTACGTTTTCGATACAGATACTAGGATGGATTGTATTCTTCTACATGGCACACCCTTTCCTCATGAGCTGGTTTTGCAAGTTACGCGTACGCTTAACAATTTGGAGATGGTAACATATGATCATATGAGCCCACATTTAATTTCTCTTATTGACTTGGTGGTTTAATTTGTCACAGTTGGGAGATTAAAAGGAGAAACAAACGGTAGCATTTGCATAATACATGTGAGGCACTTACCTAATTCACGTGGTCATCATATCAACTAAAATATCAACCAATTGTCATAACAACCAAGGTCTCATCAAAAGTACAGGTTGTGTATTGAATGTGGACACACACTTATCATATGCCTGTTTAATTACAACAGGAGGCTAGTATTAATGGAGTTCGAAATGCCTCCTCTCTTTTCTTTGTCAAATTTGAAATTGATTTAGAGAAAATTGGACTTGGTTTCTTTACTTGAGGTAATTAAACCTTTGATTCAATTGAAATTTCGGTTTCTGAATGAAATATTCATGAGTATTGGTCTCAAAACTCGTCACAATATGGAGTAATGCTCCTTTTGGATAACGCCATTAGAATTTCTAGTCAAAAGAAATGGTTATAAAGGACGAAAGTTAAACAAATTTAAGGACCAATACTTATGAATCTTTAATTTAAACTCCGATCAAAATTTGAAGACAATGTCAAACTCAATTTGTTTATTCATATGGGCATGGTGGAGTGGGTTCTAAAATTGTGGAATCATAGAGCATATGGAAAAAGTTAAGTTGTTCAAATGAGAGCAATCAGAGGCATGTTTATAGGTATTTTCAGGGCCGGCCATGAGAATTTGGGTTTTTAGGCGAGCCTTTGAAGTGGGGTTTTAGAATTCTTTGACATCGATTTTTTGTACATTGATGTGTATATGTATAAAAAAGAATTTGCCAAATGCATGAAAAAGGCTATTTCTAAATCAAATATCATTAAAATAAATATCAAAAGAAGAAAGATATACAAACATTATTTATATATTACACGTCTCGCGTTTTTACATCCAAATGTACTAATTAAGCCGGTAAAATCTTAAAGAACAATAAAACTTAATTGATGAATATAAGAAATTCTCTTATGCTTCTGAAATTTAGCATCACAAGTTCACAATTTTCAAATATACCTACATAAAGCCAAGTTACAAACACAATAATAATAGGGCAGTGTTATCCACTTACCCATTTTTACTTCTCACACACCCTTCTCAATTTTCAGTCGTTGGATCAAATGAATTGAAGAAGATCAACGGCTTAACAAAGGTGTGTGGGAGGTAAAAATGGGTGTGTGAATAGCACTATTCTAATAATATCAAACCACATGTATGTTACAATACCAAAGAAAAAATTCCAATAACTCAAAAAGAAAAAACTTAAAAAAGATAAATTCTCTCTTCGATTGCCTTATTAGTTTGCAGTCAAAAGTCCAAGATTGAGATTTTGAGAATTTTCTCTATTTGATAAGGGAACTGATTAGAATAAACAAGGATGTTTAGAATTTGGTGTTTGTTTGGAAAATGCGACGGAGGCCAAGGGGTTTAACCGTTTAGCGTTTGGTGTCTAGGGAGTGCGACAAAAGAAGTAAACAGGTTTGTTTTTCACATCAATCAAAACATGTTTGAGTCACTTGACGTTTCCCCTTTAACGTACAAACTAAGTTTGCTATTCTTTTTATTCAATTAATTATATAAATAACTAAATTTTATAAATGTTGGGCCGCTCATGCTAATGGGCTATTGTATTCAGATAAAGAGTCAAAATTAGGCCTGGCAAACGGGTCGTGTCTATCGTGTTTGTGTCGTTTTCGTGTAACACCTGTTATCTTAACGGGTCGTGTCGTGTCACACCCGTTATCTTAACGGGTCCTTAAAAGGTCATGTCACTTTACCCAACGGGTAAAGTGACCCGACCCGTTATGACCCGTTAAGAAAAAAATATATTTTTTTTAAATTTGCACATACCACACATTGCCACATAAATATTACTTCAAAACATTAAAACATTTCTCGTTCAAGTACCATATCTACACTCGAAAATAAAAGCCTAATAAAAAAAATAATACATACACTACTAATATTTTACAAATATTAAATGTGCAAGGATAAAGAGTTTTTGTTTTTAAGATTGTAAGTCTTTCTCAAAAGTTTACACCTCCATTTACAAAATCTTCAATTTACATCGATCATCATGAAATTGTATTCAATTTACACCTACATCTATATAATTATTATAGTTTTTACTTTTTTAGGGATATAAAATTATTAAATTAATGTATATAGTTATTAATATTATAGTTGATTCATACTTTTATTAAGTATATAAATTATAACATAAGATTTTGTTATATCCACATCCACTAGTGTAAATATTTTAAATTGAAGATCAAATTCATTCTTTGTATTCATATAGGGTCAAGGAGTGTAGCTGTAAAAATTCATCAAAATTAGAGTTAAAATAACCGTTAAATCTTGATTTTTCGTTTATAACCGTCGAAAAACTTTGTCCCGTTACTTGATCTCTGAATGTTTTTTTTTTGTGATTTTTTGCTGATGTGATCTCCAAGCATATACAAACAATTTTGACGGTTTGGATCGTTGAAATTAGTTTTGGAGAATTCGTAAAACGATAGATTGACTAACACTTAGAGTTTATTTATACTTTCATTAAGTATAACATAAGATTTGTGGTATCCACTTGTGTAAATATTTTAAATTGAAGATCGAATTCATTCATTGTTTTCATATAGGGTCAAGGAGTATAGTTATAAAAAATCATCAAAATCGGAGTTAAAATAACCGTTAAATCGTGATTTTTCGTTTATAACCGTTGAAAAGCTTTGTCCCGTTACTTGATCTCTGAATCTTTTTTTTTTGTGATTTTTTGCTGATGTGATCTCCACGCATATACAAACAATTTTGACGGTTTGGATCGTTGAAATTAGTTTTGGAGAATTCGTAAAACGATAGATTGACTAACACTTAGAGTTTATTTATACTTTCATTAAGTATGACATAAGATTTTGTGGTATCCACTTGTGTAAATATTTTAAATTGAAGATCGAATTCATTCATTGTATTCATATAGGGTCAAGGAGTGTAGTTATAAAAAATCATCAAAATCGGAGTTAAAATAACCGTTAAATCGTGATTTTTCGTTTATAACCGTTGAAAAGCTTTGTCCCGTTACTTGATCTCTGAATCTTTTTTTTTTGTGATTTTTTGCTGATGTGATCTCCAAGCATATACAAACAATTTTGATGGTTTGGATCGTTGAAATTAGTTTTGGAGAATTCGTAAAACGATAGATTGACTAACACTTAGAGTTTATTTATACTTTTATTAAGTATAACATAAGATTTTGTGGTATCCACTTGTGTAAATATTTTAAATTGAAGATCGAATTCATTCATTGTATTCATATAGGGTCAAGGAGTGTAGTTATAAAAAAC